GGGTAAGGAGGGATAGAGGGAAAAGGGGGGGGGGGGGGGGTGGTAATGTTGAATCTCTGACGCTAACATTGTTGCGTGACCTAGGAGTTCAGCTTAGTTAAGTACGTCTATGCGGTCTTCGGGGTAAAGACAGAAGATACTATAACTTCTCATGGAAACAATGAGTAGAGGTACCTTGGAGTGGCATGAGAATGCCCAATGTGCACAGACCTCGACTGTGATAACATAACATAGCATTACTTTCCATAACATTTTCTGGTATATATGTTAGGTTACATATGACTATCAGACGAGGTCGATATTAAAATTCAACTTTGATGAGGATTGGAACTTATGACAGTTGGCACTACAGGTAAAATTGCCAGCCATTGCGCAACTTCAGCCTGTTTGCAGGTTTCTAAACATGAATCACCTAATTGTCGTCTGCACAATGAAGGCAGGCCACAATAGATTCCAAACATACTTTGTCTCAGACTGCTGTGGATCCATTTTAATTTTTTGTTTGTTTGTTTGTTTTAGTTTGTTTGTTTAAATTTGGTCTTTGCTTAGTAATTAAACAAGTTTTCAAATATGTTAGTTCTGTATCCTAGGCGACTTTGCAAACCACCCCTAGCGTGTGTTGGCTACGGTTTTATCTAACCACCCCTAGCGTGTGTTGGCTATGGTTTTATCTAACCACCCCTAGCGTGTGTTGGCTACGGTTTTATCTAACCACCCCTAGCGTGTGTTGGCTATGGTTTTATCTAACCACCCCTAGCGTGTGTTGGCTACGGTTTTATCTAACCACCCCTAGCATGTGTTGGCTATGGTTTCACCTGGCAATTGTAGGTTCAGTAGTTTGCCACTAAATACTCTGCTGAAAAATCGCAGGAGTTGAATCGATATGGTACTTGGGAATTACAAACCGAGTTGGTAACCCCTAAACTTCTTGAACTAAACTACCTAAATAAAGTAATCTAAATACTTTTTATCCAGAAATTACCTTCATCCATGTCTTAGTTCTAATTGTATCCAGAAAACCGTGGATGATGAAAATGGTAAGCCTTGGTTGAAAGTTGGTCAATACATCCAGGGCGTCTCTCGAGTTCACGGCATCGAGATACTGTGGGTCTTTAGACTGTCTCGTGTGGAGGATAAACCTTGTCCTGACAGAGAGAAGAACGGGGGTGGGGGGGGGGAGAGGGTGAGGGGGAGGTGAGGGTGGAGGGGGTGGTGAGAGTAGGGGTGGGTGAGGTTGGGGAGGGGGGGGGGTGTCAGTCGTGATGAAATAAACTCCGCCCCGTTGCTTTAGTCAATACAAACTAACAGACTGTTGTGCACGCCTTCAGTCGTATTGGGCATATAGTCGTAGACCTATATTTTATAGACCAATTGGCACTTGGTGGATGATCTGGTTAGCGTCACACCGACCGCCTTTACTTCCCAGGACTTCTACCTGATACACATTTAAGCCTTCATCGACCTAGGAGCCAAAGCCATTTCTGAAGAGCGTTCAGTGCCGTCCGGATTTGAACCCAAGACATTAGGATAAACAGGTGAGCGACTACTTCTTCTCCCACTCCCATAAATATGGAAAGGGACTAAGGGGCTCAATTTAACCAGATTATATAAATTATCTTCGCAGCTATTTGTAAAAACATATAATTTCAAGTATATTATTGTAAATGGGTGTATATTTTTAGTTGTCATTCAGCAGACTAATAATAACAATAATATTCCAATCTTAATTCCTTAAAAGACACACACACAAAAATTCACAAACACGTTTAGCCTGCTGCTAGCTAGCCGAAGCTGCTAATAGTCTCCGGCTATATTTGTGATCTCGTTTATTTGCGCTACTTTCGTGGCTAAAGTTCTGATATTCAAGCCGTCTCTGGGCTGAATGCTTCTTTCCTTCAAATCAGACTGTTCATTCCCTATCCTGTTGTCAGCTGAGTTCTTCTTGCCCTTTCATTAATGATGTTTCCTCCTTGGTTTCAGATCCTTCTGATTTGGCCAGGCGTTTATCGTAGGAAAAGAAGCCTCTCAACATAACGTCCTCTGGACCACCATGATAGTAGTAACTTTAATATTATTATTAATAAAGAATAAAAATAGAATGTTGAATTACAAATACATTTTTGGCTTATTCGACTAAAGAGATTTTTCGACCACTTTTTTAGGCGGCGGATTCTTCGTTTGTCGCATTGTTCATGATAAAGACTTCAGTTGAAACATTGGTTTGTATCTAGTACGTGTCCTGTTCCTTGCAACTCCTTCCCGTTCTTGTTTCAGCTTTCTAGTGATAGACTGAATTAGGTGAATGACTTTTTTAAGTGTGCATTGGCTGTTTACACTTTGTGATTGTAACTTGACTCTGAAGGCATGCTGAGAAAGGGGAAGACAGGGATGCTTCGAGCAGAGTGGCAAGCTTGACTGGAAAGGTCACCGGTAGGGAGCATACTTTGGATATTTTCTTCGGTGCTGTGGGTAATGAGCAGGCAGACAGATTGGCTGGATCCGCACCACTGGGTGGTGAACTGATACATAACAAGGCAGATGTGGTCAAGGCCCTTTAGTATCAAACAACGGAATCAGTAGAGGAACAAGATTATTATAGCCTAGAGAGAATGAGGCACCTTGGTGTAACCAGAGGGTCTGGCCGGCTCACTACACTTATAGTAAAGGTAAGACGGACATATGACTAGATTGTGACCGGTACCATCAGTATTAGAACTCTGCTCTGGCTGCTGAAGATGAGGACAGAGCACACATGGGAATTCCCCGAGTGCTGTGATGTAAATTCTGGACTCGACTCAACTTAACTCTGTGAAGTCTAAAATGTAGTGCCGAGTCATGCACAGGTTCTGCAGGAGAAGGTAATAAGGGAGTTGAGATAAGCAATAGATTGTCTGAGTTTTAAATTGTACTTTTTTTCCTTCCATTTTAGGTTCTTGGACTCAATTTGGGAGCGCGGGGTATGTAGGCGGGGACTAATTAGGGATCTTTCCTTCAAAGTAAGGGTCCATCTGCATGACAGGAGAGGAAAATGCCGGGAGGAGAGGGAAAGAGAGAGAGAGAGAGAGAGAGAGAGAGAGAGAGAGAGAGATAGAGAGAGAGAGAGAGAGAGAGAGAGAGAGAGAGAGAGAGAGAGCGAGAGATGGGGGGGGGGGAGGGGGGGGGGTGAGAGCATGTAACGAAATCGTCAGACGTTTCCCTTCGCGTTCTGGAGGTCAAAATAGCTTTGTTGCGTATCCTTTACAGGACGTTGCAGAACCAACCCCAGCAGCCCCTGGCTGTTGTGTCTGGAGGTCATAGGTTTATTTTAATGACGCGCTGTTGAGTTGACGAGTTGCAGTTAAAACAGAGATCCGCGGAGATCGTCGCTGGAACTACAGAATGCGTGCTTTCTGCAACTCTCTCGGTACGCATTTAACCCTTCTGATTTCAGACCCAAGCCGTTTGGGATCAGTCTTTTTTTGCTAATTTAACTTTTATTTGACAACTTACTGCATTTTTTGCGGCGACTGAGGAAGCATTACCAATGGTCTCTCCGGACCGCCGAATGGAGGATCAGTAGAGAAACAGCCTAGTGGTTCGTAGCACACATCTGTAGTGGATGACAGAGAAAGTTTGAGTGAACTGATCAATAATTGTAAAGCTGTTGTAAATTATTTGAATACTTGCTTTAGTTCATCAGTTTCCCACTGGTGATCTACGGGGCCGTAAGTGCTCCGTGAGCCCTTCCTATGGGCTCCAAGAAAATAGAGACTAAATTAAAGTAACCACGCGTACTAATTAGGAAAAAAAAAATGTTAAATATGCTGCCACTAACTCCAAAACTACAAACAGAAAACTAGATCTAACCGGCCCGCCACTGGAACTAAATGGCCTTGCAATTCATTTGCAGTGAGTGAGTTACTGTGTGTGCGTATGCATTTACCATTGTGTGTGTATGTGTGTGTGTGTGTGTTTTGTGCTTGATAATGATAGTGTGCATATTGAAAATGAAAAATCATGCTTTATTGATAAAACACAATTGCTGACTGAAATAAGAGTCTTCAAAGAGCGCAATGTAAGGCGGGCCTGCGGGCCTATTTTGTGACTCTTCGAAAAAAAAAAGTTCCGTCTTTCTTTGCAAATACTGTTAGTTGAACCCAGAAAAAGCGAACTGCGAAGCGATACAACAAAAGGCGGCTCGTTGAATTTTCTGTCTTTATATTGTATATTTTAATTTCAACAACCACCAACATTGTCAAATCTGTTGTAATACATATGGATTTATTTACTGAACTTCCGAAGACGTTCATCATTAACGAGTTTTGACAATACCATATTTACTGGAAGCAGCCGGTAACAAATGAACTATTTTGGTAAATTTCAAAGTTTGTAAAGTAAAGATTTATTGGATGGACATTGCACAGTTGTTTAGATTGTACAAGTAAATTTAAGAAAACCTATCTAATACAATTTCTTCTCTGAGTTTTCTATCTTCTTCTTCGTCGCATACCACCTACCTTTGCTATAACAAAATAAAACATTACGAACTGAATATTCACCCTAAAATAAAATAAAATAAAATAAAATAATCCCACTGTATGGATTTCATACACAGGCACATAACAGGGTCACAGAAAGATATTGAGAGAGAGGGATAGAGAGATATGGAAAGACAGACAAAGAGAGATACACAGATATATAAATACAGAATTAAGGTGAGACACAGAGACGGATAGAGATGCATATAGATATACAGAGACAAAGATGGCCTTTAAGAAAGGGGTCGGGTGGTATGCTATGGCAACGTTAGCAAAACAAAACTAACGCATATTCATCATTTGTAATGCTGGTGACATTAGAAACAATTTTAATGTCATTACGCAAATGAAGTTCGCACTCTGTTCACTAGTACCCTTATATACAACTGTATCATATTCAACACTCGCGTGCTTTTTATCTTCAAAAACCGTTGAGCTGACCATAATGGATATTTGCACGTGTACATACATCGGTCGCATCATTACGATTTTATTATAGTCAGTTATTCGAGGAAGGCCTGTAAACTATATCGGCATTTTGTTTGAAGTACTTAGACCATGTTAATGTTTATGCCAGCAATACAATCTCGGGAAGCGTGGTTGACCGAGCGATTGCACGAACACCTGTCGGACCTGAGGTGTTGAGCTCGAATCCACAGCGGTGAACTTGTGTGTGTGTGTGTGTGTGTGTTGCCTTTCAATGTCAAACCATGCCAGCCAAACCACGTGATAGAGGTTACAGATGGTTGTTGTAACGGTGATCACATCAAACTTTTGAGTAGAAATGTGGAAAGAGGATTAGGAAGAGCAATCAAGAAATAAGATGAAGAAGGAGACAAAAATTGCTTTTGTCAGTTTTTCGCTGTTGCTAGACAACCAAAAAGAGCAACCAAGAGGTTTTGAAAGAGGTGGGAGCCCAAAGACAATTTATCACAGATATCAGAAGGAGACCGTCATCATTTTTCAGCCATGTTATGAGGAGAGGGAAAATTGAACATGTGACCACTGGGAAGATCTGTGGAAGGAGAAAGAGAAGATTCTTGACAGTCCTGTAGCATGGCATGGAGGTATGTCAGCACACGAACTGATACATGATGCAGGAGATCGCAGATTGTGGAAAGGCATGATCACCCACGTCAGTCGGCAATGCACCTGATGATGATGTACTTGTTTTTGTTGTTGTTGTAGGTTGTCGTTGTCTATTTCTTCTTCTTCTTCTTCTTCTTCTTCTTCTTCTTCTTCTTCTTCTTCTTCTTCTTCTTCTTCTTCTTCTTCTTCTTCTTCTTCTTCTTCTTCTTCTTTTCTTCTTCTTCTTCTTCTTCTTCTTCTTCTTCTTCAGTTCTTCTTCTTCTTCTCTTCTTCTTTCTTCTTTCTTCTTCTTCTTCTTTCTTCTTCTTCTTCTTCTTCTTCTTCTTCTTCTTCTTCTTCTTTCTTCTTCTTCTTCTTCTTCTTCTTCTTCTTCTTCTTCTTCTGCTGCCGCTCTCTGCTGCTGCTGCTGCTTCGGCTACTACTTCTTCTTCTGCTTCTTCTTCTAATTCTTCTCCTTCTTTACCTCCTTCTCCTTCTTCCTCTTATTCTCCTTATCGACTTCCATTCATCGTTTCATCTTCTTCTTTTTTTTCCTTCTTTTTCTCCTGCTTCTTCTTTTTCTTCTTTTTGTTGTTTCTCGACAAGTGTAACTGTGTATTCAGTACAAAAATAACACAGAGGAAACATACGTACTGTTGCTGAACAGGGCCCCAGACAACTGCAAGCATGTGGTGGTCACAAAACACACAAGATACAGCAGATGGTACATCTCTCCAGCTGTTATCTCCCCTGCAACAACTAGGATAGAAATTAGCCACCGTTAATTATTGTTTCGACCCTGCCCCTCAGAGGTCAGTAAAACCCGTAGCAGTGACTGGTTTAGGAGATGCTAACTGAGGGCGGGATGTGAATGGTGTGTGTGTGTGTGGGGGGGGGGGGGGGTCGTTGCTATCGGCCTGTGGCATAAGCAATCTCCTGTGAAAGAAACTGAACTCTCGCAAAGCAATATTGCTATAGGATGCAAATTTCACTAGATTCAACCTTTTTAAATGTCAGTATTTCTCCTCTTCTTTGTCCATGATATTCTGAGAATCTGTCTGTGGTGTTTCAGCTCAAAAGTCTCTTTTTTTTCGGGGAGATAGTAAACGAATCATATCAGTAAGTTGTTACAGGAAAGATGAATGCCCTCAAAATTCTAACTTTGATTTCCTTGCTAGTGAACCATAAACTTATAGCGCTGTCTAATCTTTGCATTGCTATGACCATCATCTTTATGATTTCTGTCAAACAGTCTCCATTGCTATTTATTATAGAGCCTAGATATTCACAGTTTGTGACATTTAAAATCTCTTCATCATTGATTGTTGTTTTTCGGTGACAACCAATTTTGCCTGTGAACATTATTTTCTTTTTCTTTGAATTCAAGAATAGCTTTCGATCTTCCCTGTATTTTTGGACATGTATAATTAAATTTTCTATTCCCTTTTCATTCTTCGAAAGGAGGACTGTGCCATTAGCATAGCTAAGTTCTGGAATAGGGTTGCCACAAATTTTGAGAGGATCATAACTGCCACAAGTTTATCCTTTTTGACATTCCTCATTATTTTTCTGCATATGCAGATTGAATAGGTATGGTGAGAGAATGCACACCAGTCTCACTTTCTCTTTCAAAATAAACACAGAAAAGAAGCAACCAGAATCTTCCATCTCATTAACAAAAATGAATTTTATTCTGTATTTTGTTTCGTATTCTAATACCTGGACAATGAGTGAAAGGATGACCTCAGTTACAACCCCTACAAGCAGCAGTAGCTCACAACATCTATTCTTAACTAAGAGATCTATCAGTGTCAATGGGTTGGACAGAACAAGAGAAGCCTCTTAAGCATTTCTGACTTTTCAGCTGTCCAATTAGTATAAAAAGAAAAGGAATCTCTCAGAGCAGCCTAAAAGGGCCAAGGCTCATTGGGGTTTAAATCACTGACATGATCAAATGTTGTCACCACAAAGTTTTTTAAAAGCTTACGGAAACGAGAGCTTGATGCCACCAGTAATCGTCGATAACTTTGTTGTTTTGACAGCCATTAAAACAGCCCAACAGCCTCTTATCAGCTTAAAACGACAGCGGGGAGAGGTGAGATCCGGGTACAGAATTAAGGTCTAAAACTTTCACTGGCACCTTTTCGTTTTCCCAGACGACAGAGTTACATTTTGCTTATGGAGGCAGGTGGTCACAGCACATGACGGCCAGGGGTCCAACTTATCTTTTCCAGAGCACACAACCTATTCTATTTTCTAAAGGTCAAGTTTCCCATGCTGCACGATCCCTCAATTAGTCTGCCTTGTTTAACCTAAAGGAAAAGCGGCACCAATAAGTCTAGAAAATAAAAATGCTGCAGATGCTGCTAGATGAGAAGCTTTATTCTCTTCTCTAATGAACTTATTCCTCCGAAGTCTTCCGCAAAGTGTTGGCTGTTATGTTTAATAAGCCGTCTATCATTCTATGAAAACAAAACAGTACCGACTACTGTTATACGGTAGCTCAGTTTTGTAAGCCTAAAACTAAAAGAAATAAAACTGTCCGATCCCCAGAATGAACAAATATTCTTATCATTAGACATTAACCAGTAACCTAGATAAGCCGATGTTATGTTTCCCCCCAGGAGTCACAAAGAACACCAATCTCACCATGAAGCCAAACTAAAAACCAGTGCGCAAATACTGGCTTTAGTTTTTAAAAAAAAAGGAACTAAAAAAATTTAAACAAACAATTAAAATAAAAACAATGGATGAAACATGCCGGTGAGCCCATAAAAATTATTAAGGCTAACCTACACTGGAGCAGGTAGACCTGCCATCAAATACACCTCAATCTTACTGATAGAAGTAACAAAAACGCACGTGAAACCAATACAAGGTTCAAATACGAACGGGCTTGCAAATAATGCACGGAAAAATTAGCAGCACATCCGTAAACAAACACTGAGAAAACATGTTTTGTTTTTTAGGTTTCTTAGAAGGTACAAATCCATTAATTGGCTTGAAAAGCTCAAGTTACTTTCAACCATCTGCTGAACCGTCAATTTCAGGAAGAAAAGGTACCAAGAAAAAAATTATGAATCACTTTACAATAAAAGCCTTACCCCAACATGTAAATATCAAAACTAACATAATGATGTGTGAAACTATCACGTCAGATCTGAGGTCTGGCTGAACATTCATATCCCGTTAGGGAAGTCCCATGAAAAATCTACTCCCCCCCCCCAAAAAAAAAGATGGGGGGGGGGGGGGGGATTACAGAACATAATCAGATATCAGTATCTCTCCAATGTTTGGACACGTGTGTTCACAACGGGTTTCGGTTAAAAAATCGTTAGAAGCACTGAATTGGTGAATCTTCATTACACGCCCTAACAGCAGCACAGACCCACTCAATATCGGCTTTGGAAGCTTGCACCAGTTTAAGCGCGAAAGGTACAAACACCTGAGCCGACTCCCAGTAGTCCAGTTAAACTGAATAAACAGTTGTCATATTCACATGCTCAAATCAACCTTCGAGAGGAAAAGAGGGGGGGGGGGTGTTTGGATTTTTTTGGAGGGGACAATTAGTCTAGTTTGCCATATAATGATTTTCTCTGTTTTCTGTTGGGTATTTTCTTTCTGCTTGCTACTTGGACTCTTCTGAAACTGTGTCTCAAAGCGTCGTTGACCCTTATTGCCGCTTTGTCATCATGTGGAATTTTTGTGATCTGTTCTCGAATGTCTGAGTTGCTCCTCATTCTTCAAACTGTCGGCTCATTGCGCTTGTGTTTCTCGATATTGTTCTGTCTCAAATCCACAAGGTGGAATTGATTATTGTTAGTCATTATATTTTGCACACAAGGAGGACGTGTGGTAGGAGTCCTTTATGATCGGGTTAATTCAATAGAGGTCATTATATTTGGCACCCAGGGTGGACGAGTGGCAGGAGTCCTGCATGATAGGTTTAACCTAATAAAGGACATTATATTTGGCACACAAGGAGGACGAGGGGCGGGAGTCTTGCATGATCGGTTAAATTCAATAAAGGTCATTATGTTTGGCACACAAGGAGGACGTGTGGCAGGAGTCTTGCATGAGAATTCGTAAAACCAGCATTGAGCCCGCTGGCGCCTAACGTGAGGCACGGAGTATCTCCTCATATACAACATAAAGTACTTGACTTTTCACAAGTTCCTAACCGAAATCCTCGTGCGAAGTGTTTCACTAAACATGCAACAATTCGGAAGACATAATTTCACTCCGCTTGTGTCAGTATGCATATCTTACAGTATTTAAAAATAAATCTATGCGAAAATTCCAGCTCGTAAAATAAAATTACTGCTAAATAATTAGGAGAAAAATGAGTGGTTTGATCATAAATTTCGATTACAAAGCAATACACTGGTAACAGATTACTAGTTTATGTTTAACAA